CCAATCCCCAAAACCTTGAAACATACTATATACTCATCACCTAACATTAATTCAGTCTCCTTCTTCATACATACAGTTTGTCGCGGCAGCTTCACGAATCGCACTAACTATCAAACTGGACTCAACCCCTGCTTTCTTCTTGCTACTGACGTAAATCATGACAACATACTTGATTTCGCTGTTGCAAATCGTGAAACAACACCGTTAGCATTCTGAAAGCTATTCACATACTACATACATTTCGTTCTTTCGCAGTAGATGACGCTGTGGGAGCCCAAATCATCGATCTACACATGTTGGAAGACGACTATCTTCTGGAACATGGATCGCCCCCTACGACATTGTTGCAGTGCACCATGTGTACTATCATGAGCCATGGTGGGACTTTTATGATCTTTGAAAACCCGTGAAAGACCAAGTGAGGTGTCTACAAAACTAAACCATGAAATTTTTCAATCGAATTTGGGATTTTCACATCAGCCATTTCACAGAACATATCAAGTTATACGTGTCCAGCAATTTTTTTAACTATTCGATTAGTTTTGAGGAATCAGAAACTTTTAGTTCAAGTATGCTTAAAAGCATACATCTATGCGTGCATGGTAATACTCTAGTGTTTGAAAAACTTAAAACTTAGTTAAAACTAATCGAATAGTTATAAAAATACCTTGACATGTGTAACCTGGCATGCTCTATAAAATGGTTGATGTGAAAATTCTAAAGTGGATTGAAAAATTTCATGATCTGGCTTTCTAGAAACCTTCCTTGCTTTTCCAGGGATTTTAAAAGATTTCAAAAACCCATCATCGCTCATGATAGTATACACAGTGGTACTTCAACAACATCATAGGGTGAGAGTTTTGCTCCATTTTCCGAGAGAAAATCTTTCTCTAAAATGACCGGACGCATGATTTGGGCTCTCATGGCATCATCTACTGTAAAAAAAACGAAAGCATGTCTGGAGTTCACGGTTGTAAGTCTAAGTAATGTGTCGTTACGGAGTTGTACGTCGTGTAAACTGACAGTTTCCTTAGATGCCGGAATTTGTGCGTTTTGGGCTCTTTGCAAAAATTGAGTATCCCAGCAACCCAACAACTTTCGGACCTGCGATTTTCACCAAAATACATGAAACTATTTGCTCTAAAGAAGCTTTTATTGTGGAAGAAATCTGAGATACTTGATTGAGCAAGTTCGAATTTCTCTAGAAACGACTGAAAAGTTCAAACTACATTCTGAGAATTTTCACAGCTCTTCAACTGATAGTACATGTCTTCGACATAAAGACTGTTGTACATCAGAATACTTGAAATCCAACTAACGTTCCGATTAGCCCCACATGCTCAAAATATTTTCTACCAAATGAAACTTCGAATAACTAGAAAGAACTTCGAATCGACGTTCGTTTATATCACTAGTACCGTTAGAATACTAATACTTGACGCAGCGCTTTCTTCTTAAGCCCAGTGGAACTCTACCTCAAACATGTCAACAGTACGTAATGAATTCACAACAACGCTGTTAAATTCGGGCAAAGTTCTTGCTGCTGGTGGTCTCGCAACAGGCACTTCTCTTGCTAGTTGTGAAATATATGATCCGTCAACAGGCCAATGGAACTCTACTGCAAGCATGGCAGCGGCACGTGTCTACCACGCAGCAGCCCTGTTAAGTTCGGGCAAAGTTCTTGTCACTGGTGGAAGCGGCGGCGGCGGTGCTCTTAGTAGTTGCGAGATATACGATCCATCAACAGGCCATTGGAACGCTACTGCAAGCATGGCAGGGGCACGTTTTATTCACACTGCAACCTTGTTCAGTTCGGGCCAAGTCCTTGTCGCTGGTGGTGACATATCAGGCACTTCTCTTGCTACTTGTGAGATATACGATCCATCAACAGGTCATTGGAACTCTACTGCAAGCATGGCAGGGGCACGTTTTGCTCACACTGCAACCTTGTTAAGTTCGGGCAAAGTTCTTGTCACTGGTGGTGAGATAACAACAGGCACTTCTCTTGCTACTTGTGAGATATACGATCCATCAACAGGTCATTGGAACTCTACTGCAAGCATGGCAGCGGCACGTTATGGTCACACTGCAACCTTGTTTCGGGTAAAGTTCTTGTCACTGGTGGTAACGGCGGCAGTGCTCTTAGTAGTTGTGAGATATACGATCCATCAACGGGCCAATGGAACTCTACTGCAAGCATGGCAGTGGCACGTGCCTACCACGCAGCAACCCTGTTGAATTCGATCAAAGTTCTTGTCACTGGTGGTAACGGCGGCAGTGCTCTTAGTAGTTGTGAGATATACGATCCATCAACAGGTCATTGGAACGCTACTGCAAGCATGATAGGGGCACGTTATCACCACATTGCAACCTTGTTCAGTTCGGGCCAAGTCCTTGTCGCTGGTGGTGTAGGGCAGAGCGCTGATCTTGCTACTTGTGAAATTTATAATCCGTGAACCTGCTATTGTTTATCTTCAGTTTGGGACAAGAGAAAGTGTTGGGTTTGCGTGATGTTCTCGCTGGGGTTTGCAAGTTAATGTTCAGAAAGCTCTTTTCATGATTCTCCACTGTTGCGCTTAGTTCTGTTTAAATATACTTTTACGAAAGATTATTGAAGCATTAAAGCCATTCGTATCTGTTTCGAACTCGAGGGTTGAGAATAGGTAAGGGTGCCTTCCGGCAGCCTCGAAAATGGTTGCAAGCACAGGTTATCGTGAACGCTGAGTCTCGCGACAATCTCTTTTCAGAACTGAATCCAAGAGCTTAATTAAACTCCATACTAGATGAGAGAAGCCATGTTCGGCTCTTTTCATGGAAAGTCAAAAGTTACTTGAGCCTGTAAACAGGTCGATGATACTAAGCAATACTTCGGAATAGTAAGCAAAGAAACCATGATGTTGCTAGGTTTTCCATTGATAAAAACCGAGACTTCCACGAAAACTATATAAGAATACCCATACAGACCTTATTCGATTCAGTTTCTGATGCTGATTCCGAACGGCACATTAGTTTAGCCAAAAGTTGAAATTTGATGCTGAAAATCTCAAAATACGAGTTTACTTCAGAGCTGTTAGAATACACAAAAAAATGTGTAAGATGAAATGTACTGCATGAATATATTGTTATAGTGTAAGTGTAAGTTAAAAGTGGGCTGATCCTGACACTCGAGCCGTATTAGTTTTCGTGCTTTTCATACTATTCTACTTTTCATAGTTTTCATCCCTTTCATACCTTTCATCGCTTTCATACTTTTCAACTTTTCATGCGTTTCAATCTTTACTACTTTTCATACTTTTGGTGGCTTTCATACTCTTCATCTGGGTGTTTCGATGGAGTCCGTACCACGATATACACAACATTGTTCGCATAAGCTGGAACCCTTTTCAAATGAATGACCCATGCGTGGGATTAGCGTAAATCGAGTTAAAAAAGTTTGAAAATATCGGCATCATAGAACGCCAAATCTCGACATTTGCGTTTTGAGGACCCAGTAACGCTAAACTTTTGCCTATATAAACCAGTAGCGAACCTTGAATTTTTTATGGAATATATAGTAAAAAGTTAGGGCTTTCTCGTGGTATCGCCAAAAAAATTTCAAAATGTTTTGGAGATTTTGAGGAGGATTTCCAAAAACCCGATTTGGTCTCTTTTTGCGATAGATAGATTTTCAGCAAAGCAAAATGGAAA